CTTTATGGGTGCTCCCAATGGCTGGAGGGTGTCAAATAAGGGGACCAGCAGATTGGGACTCTGGTTTGTGTGGATGATGTGGTTCTTCTGACTCCCTCATGCTAACACCTAAAGCATGCACTGAAGCAGTTTGCAGTCAAGTGTGAAGAAGCCTGGGTGGGATTCTCGAAGTCCTATCCAATGGTTCTGGACCAGAAAACTGTTGCTTGCCCCATGTTGGAGGATAGTTCCTGCCTTAAGGGGAAGAGTTCTTTTTTGGGGTCCTTTTCACAAGTGAGGGGAGAACTTAGCCAGAGATAGATCATCCTTAGGATGAATTGTTGACGCTGCTGCTATAATGCAGATGCACTAGTCTATATCAGTCTGTTAAGATGAGAAAAGAGCTGAGTTAAAAGGCAAAGCTTTGATTTTCTGGTCTACATCCCTTTCCTCACCTATGATCATGAAATCTGGATCATGAGCTAAAGAACGATATCCTGGATAAAAGCGTCTGAAATTAACTTTGTCTGCAGGATGGCTTGGCTCTCCCTCAGAAATAGGGTGAGAAACTGCCATTTGGGAGGGGCTCGGAGTAGAGGCGCTTCTTCTTCACATCCACAGCAATCAGTTGGTTAGGATCAAACATCTTGATTTAATGCTCCCTGGACGCCTTCCTTAGGAGGTGTTCCAGGCACATCCCACCATGAGGAGGCCCAGGGGATAACCCAGGATACCACAGAGGGACTAAGTCTCTTAGCTAGACTAGGAGTGCCTCAGGCCTTTGCCAGCAGAGCTGGAGGAGGAATCTGTGTAGAAGGAAATCTGCGAGTCTCTGCTGAGACTGCTGCCCTAAAGACCTGGTTTTGAATAAGAGGAAGATGATGATTTTGAACCATTTTCATTTGCCTTTTTTTTCTTTGTACATATAGTAGAAGGTATTTAATTTTAGTTTCATTAGCTTAGTTAAGTTTTTAACTGAAATATGTTTAACATAGATATGAATGAATCTTTGTAAATAAATACATTTGAATCCCAGTGATTTGACCTGGGGGAATGTATATATTCACTAGAAGGAGCCTTAAGATGGAACCTTGGGGAACAACACGTGATTTTTGTTGCTCTGATGCAAAGGTTGCTTAAAATTGTCATAATATATAAACTTGCAATCTGAATTGTCTGACAGTATCTAGCTTGTCAAAGTGAGGTGGCAAGAGATGTTATGTTAGCGTTGGATGCACATGCGCATTAAGGTCAGATTACGCAATTCAGGTTAACGCAATTGTCAGAAGTGTTTACATGCGACTCTCAGTTGGATGACAAATTAATTCTGATGCTGCAGAATCAGATGAGAATATTCTGGCAGGCATGACAAATTTTCAGGGTGATCAGCTCCCGATCACTCTTTACTTATGTGTATGCAAACATAGACAATAAAAAAAAACTTTAATTCAGAGCTACTAAATTCACCTGTTGCATCCCAAGGCTCCATTCTGGGGCCCATTCTATTCAATACATTCATGCTCCCTCTAGCTCAGATTATATCAAACCACTAGAATTTAAAGCTGGTTTTACTGAGACACCAGAAGAGCTCTTTTATCCTACCTTCAGGTGTTTTTTTTTGTTTTTTGTGTTAATGCATGAACTTGTTTATAATCCTCTTTAACAATCAAATAGGACCATCAGAGAAAAAATACAATAAAACTGACAATAGCATTTTATACTTGTAGTCTAGACCTGGAAGAATTAACATCTGAATGCTTCTGTGAGGGACAGCCGTAGACTTGCTTCACTGTGAATGCTATGAAAGGTGGAGGACCCCTGCACGTGCACCAAATTCATGATAAAAACTGATGCAATTCCCTAAAAAGTGAAAGCTTTTAGAAGAATTTCCACACTGAGTTTTCTCCCGTTTGATTGAATTTAAAAAATGCACAAGCTTTTGCCTGCTTTGAAATAAAATAGGATGAAAAGTTATTGTGTAATCATCCCATGTACCTCACTTCCCAATGTGGAATTTTTTGTTCTACATTAAAGTAACACCTTGATCTGTTCTAGGCTGTGCCTACAAGATTGGAAGTTGCATTCTCGGTCTTAACCTCTTACACCCTAAGGGGGTATAAATACATTTCTGCCTGACAAAAAGTAAATCACTTATAGCCTCACAGCTATTAGATTTAAGAAGAAACTTTTGGTACCTCTGTAAAGGTAAGATGTCATAGAATGGTTTTCTGGTGTCAGCACCATTGTAGCTTTGACCCTGCCTGAAATATTAGGGACAAAATACAAAATATTTTGCATTTTTTGAACCTCGCCAAAATTTTCTTTGAAATGAACATTGCAAAACACTACCAAAATATTATTTATAGCACAAAAAAGTAGTACACACTTTTAAATCTAAATGTTGTGTAAAAATATACCAAATTTGGACTCAATCAGATGAATCATATTTATTTTAGAATGGTATTAGTGAGAAATTTCTTAGGCGGAGGGGCCATTTTGGCACATTTATCCAAAAATGTCACCAAACTGTGCCAAAGTGTTTTTTACATCAATACTGGGGGTTTGTTAAAATTACGAGGTCACGTAGCAGCAACCGGTGGGTCTGTAGGGTTCTAGGGGTTAAGCCAATCAGCAACCTGCAGACTATTATTTAATTCACCTTGGCCACTTGACTGTCATAGAGCCATGCTTGCTGAACAGCCTCTTGTACTGTAAACTTGGTCAGACTGCTTTGATGTGGAGAGCTACCTTTTAGCTTAACCCCAGATTTGCCTGTTTATGTGCATGTTAGGTAGGTTATCTTGTCCAATTTTATATTATGTTTTTTTTTTATTAGGTACGTTTATGTTTTATTTTTATTTTTATCATTATTTTGTTTATGTTTCCTGGACTTTCACTGAAGCCTGAATCAGTTTTTGTAGAGAAGAACTCAAAATAGGACAGGAAAAAGACATCTCAAATGCCATTTTGTCTTCTGCTCAACTGTCTAATTATATGTTCATCCCTTAAAACCCGAGACCAAGCCAGGGGACATAACATTTCTAGAATAAAACATAGTAGTTTTACTAACTTAACAAAAAAAGCTGCCATCTTCAAACGAAAACTAATCAAAATGTTCTGTTAGTTTCCTTCCAACTCAGTCTCAGCATTCGTGAATGAGATGGGACAGCTGGCATCTTCCATTATTTATCTTCTAAATCAAATCTTAATAAAACAGAGGACGCAGATTCCCAATAATATGCCAATCACATGAGTGTGACTGATACTGAAGCTTTTCCTGCAGCGGCGCACTCAAGTATCCGGCAAAGCCGCCAGCAGCTGCTGAGAGTCGGCCTCCTGGGAATGTGACAACAGGAGGAAGACAAGTGGCAGCGGGGCTACAGCGGATCAACCCAGAAACACAAACCCTTTCAGACACACAGCGTCTTCTCTGACTGCTTTAAACAGTAAATTACACCCCAAAGAAAGTTAATTTTAGCTGAAAACACTTTAAAAATTGAAGATTTACTATAAAATGTTCTTCTTAAATTCTTAAAAGAAAGAACATTTTCATGCTGCAATATCAGCTTTTCCGTTTACAGCGTTTGATAAAGTGGGATACGCTTGAGGGAGAAGTTTTACACTGTAAGGTTCATTTCCAGGGCTCTCCTGGCAACAAAGCAGAGTGATCACATACCCTTTTTTTGTGAAGTCGAAGGCAGTCCATATTCTCAAGTCCTGCTCCACATCCAGAACATTGCAGCTATGAAATGAGAACTCCAGTGGCATTCAATGTGTGCGGAGCAGTCTGAGGCAGCATACAGTATCCCACCACATCCTGTGTTCCACACACGCATTAACAAAAACACATACGCTGCTGCTCCCTCAGCAAATAGGAAAGGCAGCTAAAATCGGCCTCTGAAGGAAAAGGTCCGTATCATTAAACTTTACTCAATTAGGAGGAACATAGTGTCTCCCTTTCATACGTCTGGAAACTTTGCCCCATGTGAGAGAGGAGGACCAAGAACTGGAGCACACACATGTCTGTGTGTGAGTGGTGAGTGGGGGGGGGTGTGTTCTCCACAGTGGGACGGGGGCAGCTGCTGCTGTCTGAAGGAAACGTGTGGCATTTGCCTTAGCAGCAGCATGACACCAGTGGAGGAAAGTGCCCTGGTCAAACCCACATGCAGGGAGCTTTGAAGAGGTAATTCCACCCGGTCCAGGTCCAATCAGAACCTTTACATCTTTTATTCAGATATTATGTGGCAGAACAAACAGAGTACAGATGGGGGGGTACATGTCATGATGATAAAGATTTCAGAAATGGTCTGAAAAGTGCGGCATACAGTTGCCCTGGCTAAAATCAGTGCCACCCGTAGCTTTAAGAGGCTGGCTAACTGGGCTAATTTGGTGACTCAGTATAGGGTTGTTTCATCCTGTATTTACCCCTTTAAATCTCATACCTACAAATCAACATCAGGGTAATTAGGATCAGTTACATAGCTGTAAATAACCTAGAAAAGCAATCTGTTTATCACATTCTCTAACGTCTACAAATCCAAAATCTGATATGCAGATTTATGAGCAACTTGGCTGAGACCAAAGCCACAGCTTTCAGACGGACAGTCCACTTGTCTTCCCAATAAAGTATAATAACCAATAACTTATCCTGCACACATCATAATACAGTGAAGCATGGTGGTGGCAGTATCATAGCTGATTTATTTAAATTCCATTCGGGCCAATCTGGATAGACAGCTGATCAGAAGCTGCAGATGAAGTCAAGCTGTGCAGCCAAAAGTACAACAGAGTGATAGATCCAAGAATCCATAGCCTTTAAAATTAGGTCTTCTTTTGGCTGAAAATTAGGCTCTATATTCACTGATCTTTCTTACTACATTTACAGAAAATGAGGAAAAGTTAGTGGCATGAATGCTTTAAAGACATCAGTGAGACAGATGCCAAAATAGGAGGTTGGACGACAGAGTAAGGAAAAGCAACATACATCAAAAGGCCACAGACAGCTAAGGAGAACGCCTTACCTCCACTATCTCTGTGCAGGCGTGGAAGACGAGCTGCTGCCTCTGGGGATCTATGACAGCCACCTGGACAAAAGCATTGGGCTTCCTGTCTCTGCCCGAGGCCGCCAGATCATTACAGGCTACAGAGAGGAAGAGGGAGAGGAAGGGAGAGTCGAGAGGTAGAAGGCAGAGGAGATAAAAAAAAGTAGATGAGAAGAGGAGGAAGAGGGTGACGGATAGAAGATAATCCTTTATGATACGTGCATAAGAGAGAAAAATAACACAACATTCTGTCACAAATGACTAAATATGACAGAATAAATGTAGATAAAAGCAATAACAAAAGAGGCCAACATTAGTTTATGATAATCTTTTGTCACATTAAACGTCAAATGACTGGGAAATCAGGATCAGTTTCAGCACAGAGCAGAGGGGAACAGTGGAGTAGATTTTCTCCACAAAAACAGAAAAATGCTGTGGAGACATTAATAGACCCAGAGATAAACAATGGCTGCATCAGCTCTGGTTTAAATGCAGGCAGACAAGCAGAGCTCCTCCTGGCAGTGAGATATCAGTTTTATTAGGGCTTTCATTTCTGACATCAAAAGCCGCTTGTCGCTCAGATTCCAGAGACGGCGAGGCCCAGATCTAAACTCCACCCTAACCTCTAAACCCTCAGACTTTACTGCCGTCACAGCTGCTCCGATAAAGGATGTGAGTTGGTGAGGGCTCAAAACAGTACAGGGAAGAGGAAGATGTCACACCAAGCTCACGGAAAAGGAAAGGAACATCACCACCGGCTGCAGGTGAAGCTGTTTTATTAACTCTGTTTATATGTAAGGAAACTTAAAAAAACAACAACAAAGTACTAGCATAGTAAGCAACATGTGCATCTTTGACCATAAACTGCCAATAAAATAAAAATGACTTTAATTTTAACAACTGTGGTTTTAATTCATGATAAATAATTAATGATTAACAATTAAACATCCCTGCATGGAGCGGAACGAGTTTGCATAAAGATAAATGCAGAGTAAAGATTTGCAACAGGACAAAGGTGATACACAAAAAGGATTCACTGATGCTCTTCAGACACATGCAGGGAAGGATTCAGTAAACTTATTTCTGATGCAGCAATATTTTTGAATTACAGTCTGCTTGTAGCCTGTGATCTACCAAGAAGTATTAGGGCCAAGATAAATATTTTTTCTTTTTTAAATATGAGAATATAGTCATAACATTATGACAATAATGTTGTAACATTATAAAACTGTAATAATACGAGAATAAAGTTGAAAAATTCCAAGAATGAGGTCATCATACCACAACCCATTTGAGAAAGGAAGCGTTGAGCATGCTCTTAGTTGTTTGCACAATCGTGGGTTCTTCAGGGTTCTCCAAACTTGTTCTGAACATGTCTGAGCTGAACTCTGTTCCTCGTAGTGTGTTCATGAAAAGTTGTGTGATTGGTCAGTATTTGGATGGGCCTTGTTAAGTAGGGAAAGCTGAGATTTTCCCATTTAGGTTTGCATTTAGCGCCATGAGCTGATTAAGGACAAAGGTCCACCCTCAGCAATCAATAACTCCTGGTTCTAATAAGATGTAAACGTGCTCACATGGATGACCAAAATTTTGCTTAGAGGAAAGTAACTGCCGTGTTCCAAAGAGCTAGGAATTTGGCAAAGAGACTGTTTTGGCTGAGAGTGTAAGAGGGAATTAGGAATGGCACAGATTGTTAATGTACTTCTAGTGATTAAAAGTTTGGGTTTTAATTCTGAAGGCTATTACTGCAAAATTAACCCGGTTACAATTACTCACTAAAACTCCATTCGACAAATAATCCCGCCAGATTCCACCGTGGCCAAAACATCATTACAATCTCTTTGTTTAAGTCCGATTGAAATTACTCCAGGGATCTTAGCGAAAAAGAAACCCGTAGCCTTGAACAGGAAACACGGTCATCACTATGGTTATAGTTTTTTTTTAATAATCACAAATACAAATAAACAAAGACAATGTGACTCCTGTGCTCACCTTTGCCTGAGAGGAACCGCTACCAGGGATGTTCAGTCAGCCATGTCAGATCAGTAGGTTTCTGTGCTTTAATTGGCATCTTATATACTGTAGATACAGAACATCCCCAGAAACAAGCTGGGTTTAATCAGAGAGCTGTGCTTTTTTTGTCCAGGTCTATATCTTGGCATCTATCCAGGTGTTGAGCTGGTTTCAAACTTTACTCTAAAAAAAGGAAAACTAGCTTGGATTCACCAACATATTTCTTTTAAATGGGATAAATCCAGATGATGTGTGTTTTTTTTTCTTTCCTTTTTTTCTTTTTTTTTTACACTAAATCAAGACAACAGGTTAAAGTTTCCACCTGATTCAGTTGTTTTTCCAAACAGGCAAATCGACCCTCACCTATAGAGAAAACAACTATACACACCATCTGACAGGAGGAGAAGTTTTCCACACTCCGGGTTTCTTTTCTCAGTGGTTAAAAGAACAGCAGCACAAATAAAGCCAGTGTTTAATGAGCAATTCTCACGAACTTCACCACAAGAAGCAGAGCTGTAAAGAAAAGCCTCTTTTAATGCTTCTTGGAATCTTTTTAAAGAACCTTTTATCAAACAACCAAAAAAAAAAAAAACCCTGACCCCTTCAACTTTCAAAAATAAAGGAAGTTCTAGTCAAATCCACCTGTAATGAGTTTGACCCATTGCTATTTAGCAAAAAACTTTAAAACTCATACTCAATAAACTGTGATAAGGATCCTAATGAAGATGATGGTAGTCTTCTAAAACTGTGTCTGCATTTCTCTAATAAAAGTTTTACTTGCCTGATGTATTTTTCTTATAAAGAATAAGAAGTGAGTTAGAACTAGAAGAAATAAAAGCTGCAAACCTTCAGCCTGTGTGTTATCTATTTGAGGTTTTTCTCTGTATGAACTGATTTACTGTAATAAATTAATCTTTTAAGATATTTTGAATTATTGAATAACTGATCTGATATTCATGGCATAGATTTTACTCAGATCTTTTGTCTTTACCGTTAGCTGCAGCTACTTCTGCCATTAATGATTAGACTTTTTTATTAAACATAGAAAATACTTTTTAATCTCCGTTTTTGGTGTTTATGCTTTTATGATTCCTTTTTTTGTTTCCTGTTTTGCCAATATAGTTCTGGGAATGGATGTCCCAGAGCTAGATGATAGTGCAACATACTGTATATGCTTTGCTTTCACAAAAAGACCATTATGACCGTTGCCATAAGGTTCCACTTTGTACGTGTGTATCAAACTTTATTAGAAATTATGTCGGGGAGTAGAATCGTGTACAATGGACTCGGCCCAGCCTGTTCTAGGCCTCCCAGAGAAGCATCAGCATGCCAGCAGACACAGGCACCTCTCATAAGCAGGGAGCATAGGATGGGGGAGGAGGCAAGCCCTGCTCATACTAGGAGGCCTACAAATGTTCCAGTAGGTAGGGGGAGGAAAGCACTCTACCTGACATGTAGAAAAAAACAAATTAACATTCATCCTTTGTGATTCTGCTCAGTAGTAGAAGTTGAGTCTTTTTCTCCACTGTCGCTACATGGATGCTCAGTATAAAGGATTGCTGCAGAGTTAATGACGCCATGGAACAAACTACGTAAGCGAGGATTCTTGACAAGTTTTCCACTATCAGAAATGAACGGATGTTAAAACTGAGAGTTTTTCACAAGAAGCAGCTGAGTAGATAATTCTCTCTATGTGACATGTTGCTAAGGTAACCGGCTTTAGCCACAGCACCAGCAAGGAAACCCATGAAACCACCCATGTTCTGTCTCCTGTCTTTTGTTAAAGCCAGGTCATTGAACCAGAACCTTTTTAAAGGTATCCTAAAAACATTTTAATGCAAACCAATCAGAACCTAGTACTATTATAGACCATAATGATCTGGTCTAATAGCTGTTTCTACATGCAGTGACGTGATACAGTCCATTGGGTTTTGATCAGTTTTATCCTTGAACTGAACTGGACTGCATTGTTCTGTAACTAGGATCAGATTTTAATAAATTAAATTAACTAGAATCCTTCCATCTGATTGGATTGAGTAAACTGAATATTTCCATAGATGAACTTGATGTTTTTTTTTTTTTTTTTTCTGTTTGTTGTGGGTTAGCTCTGCATAAATCAGCTGAAATTAAATGCTTTGAGTGTTGAGGATGAAAAAACTTCCAAACTCAACAGTTTGTCTGTGGATACAAATCAAATAACCCCACCTGATTCCATTGCAGCCAGACATCATTACAATCTCCTTGTTAAAGTCAGACTTAAATTGCTTCAGGGTTCTTAGAGTAAAAGAAACCTGTAGCCTTGAACAGGAAACATGGTCATCTCTATGGTTACAGCTTTTCTATCATCACAAAAAAGGAAACATGACTGCCTGTCTGTCACCAGATTAGCTGGCACGTGTGTTCATTGGTTAAATGAAGAGCCAGGATTTTATCTGGTTTATGTTAGCGCCATTTAAGCTGGACCTATGAATAATGTATTCACCAGCAAATTTCACACACCATCTCAGTCCTGACTCCTTATACATAAAGAAAAATAAAACCATTATTTGACAAAAAAAATAAAAATAAAAAATCACCAATGTTTTTATTTGCATCATGGATTCAACTTTCACCAGCACATTTATAACCTTTGAAGCACTAATTATGTTTCTTTTTTTACTAAATATCAAAGATGCATCAGAGCTCTGACTGATTCAGATGTGAGCATGATTTTCTACCATATGACAAGGAAACAAACTCTTCAGCATTAACCCTGTTCTTATGGCTGGGAGAGACATCCGTCCGTTCATTTAAATTGAGCCTGGAACAAGCTGCTCCTGGGTTTCAATAGATTGTGAGGTCCAAGGAAATTATCAAGATGCGTTCAGTAACCTTGGAAACCTTTGAGTCACTGTTTTTTTAAAGTACAGTTGAAGTTATTAGCACACAAACATTTACTAAATCTATCTTATCTTGAAAGACAAATAGAAAAGTGTAACGATTTTGCTTTAAAATAGTTGACTGTACCAAGGGTCAGTCTGCAGATAAAATATACACTCACCGGCCACTTTATTAGGTACACCTGTCCAACTCGTTAACACTTAAT